TCTGGCAAACCATGCCAACCATCTAACTCCCTTGGATGTTCTGGCAAACCATGTGTATAATCACTCCGTAATCCAGTTCTGTCAAGAAGTTCATCAAAAATGCAGTGGCCAACACGCACACAAAACCCAACCAACCACCAAACCCCAAACTGTTAGAATTGGTGGAGAAAGTGATTATGCAAACAAACGTTGGCAGCTGTGAGAGGGACTGTTAACCTGGAGCTGAAGGGGAGCTGGTTGCTGCTGTGGTTACACCTTTGCTGAACTGCAGGTGGAGTGGCAGGCATTCCTCCAGCTTGAAGTTACTTTAAAGAACCTTAATATTGCCTCATTCTTATGTCTTTCTTTTCAGTGCTTGATAATATCTTGGATTTTGTATGTTTGAAATATTTTTGCTTGTTTGCTTTGTTGGTCAGGTATCTCTGTGGGCACACAGAGACCTGGTCATTTTGATTCAAGCGCTGGTTATAATCATGTTTCGTTGGGATTTCCTGGAACCGGGGCACTGTGATGGTTCAACTTGAGGCCTTGGCATACACACTCCTGATATGTACCTGCAGGCACTGGGTTCTCTTACTGATGGTCTGTGGGTTTTTAAAAGCTCAGAGCTGCTGCTGCTTCTCCCAAACCTGTCAGATCCATGACTTATTACTTCAGTCTCCAGCCTTGCAAGCCCAGATCAGTCAGTCTGATTTAGAAATTACCTCCTTCATTACTCACAGAGCATTAGTACCAGGCAAACCATTCCTTCAAAAATTCTCTGAATTTCCAGGAACCCTTTGACTTTTGGTCAGCCATTCCAGAGACTGAGCGATATTGGGGAGCAGAAAGAGCCTATTACCTGCACAGAGAAATATTTAAATGTGGTGTGAATCAATGTATAGAAGATAAAGGGAACTTGGAAGATATTTTTTCCTTGTTCTTCCTCTGTGATATCAGCCCTTTTTCTTGACCAAGTTCTTAGTTCTTTTGAGAAAAAACAGCTGTCCTATTTTGGCTGTTACCCAGGAGATGAAAACTGCCTGTACTGGTTATTACTGAAAGCTAAGCAGGGAGGTTTAGAGCCTGAGGGTAATCTGGAGGAGGCAGATGAAAACTTTTCTCTGAAGTTTGAGAATACAGTGTTGAAGGAAGCTGATAACTCATGAGCTCTTTTTCATAAGCTCTTTTTCAAATAAAGCGTCCTTTGGCATCTTTGAAACCAAGAGTACTGCGTTGAAGGAGACCAGACCACTGTCATATTTAGGTCCTTTCTTCTTTAAGGAGTTGAATTTGATCCAGAAAAAAAGGAGGGGCATTGGGAGGACACAGTAACAGGTTTCCAACTTGTAAAACTCGGATAAAGATGACAGGGATCAATTTGCCGTGTCTGTTTATGTTCCTTGTCTGTTTAGATTCTTTTGCAGAGTGGAAGACCTAGGTTGAAAACTTCAGTGGGTAGGGGGGAACCACCCAAAATGCAGAAGTAGTAAAAAGAAAAATAAGAATGGAGCAGCTTCCCTGTGGATGTTGTGAACTCCTTTTCAATGGAGCTTTGTCAGAATGGATTAAATGAGCGTCTAGCAGGGACAGCATAGGGATGAATCATTTACCATGCAGGGATGCATCCCTGGCAGGGACAGCATAGGGATGCATCATTTTGCAATGCAAGGGAGTAGGCTAGGCTGCCTCTTGAGGTTTCTTGACACACGTTTTTATGGTTTCTGTGGTCCATGATCACAAAGTGAAAATATTAACAAGCTGAGAAACTACTTAATTTATTTTAAAATTAAATTTTTTGTCTAAATTTCAAGAAATTGGACCTTTACTTGGTTTTGTATTTATCAAGTGTGTGAGACAATGCTGTACTGGCTAAACTGCTTTCAAGTTCTGACTTACTCTGGTCTAAATCTCACAGGTGAGATCAAGTTTATCTGAATGCTCTGGTTTGCTAAGTTTATACTAACCTAATAAGAGCAGCAGTGCAAACTGCCAAATCATAACAATTTTACCAGACTATTTTAATTCATTTTTTGTTTCTCTAGTTAAAGTTTCATGGTCAGTCTTCACCATTTGGTTTTTCTTTGCCCTTTTTTCTCCATTCGTAAACGGAGATTAGACACTCGACTGAATCTGAATGTTCCTTAATATAACTTAGCGCTCTTTTTTAAAATCCATTTTGGAGTATTGTGCGTTAAAAGGGTTAACTAAAAGATTAAGTAGGTGTGTTTTCTGGTGACTGTATCTATTTTCATGCCATAACCTTGTGACCCTTCACCTTAAAAGAAAATTATTTTCTGAAGTACTAAGACATTCAGCTATACATAGGAAGCATAATATTACATCACCATAACTTACATGAGACCCACTACTGTCAATGCTGGTAATACAGGATTTGTATGGCATGAAACCTTCAAGTCAGGTGCTAATTTATGACTATTCAGTCACACTATTCAGTCACTTGTCTAGTATTCTGTACCAACAAGCAGTCAATCACTTCACTACACACAAGGATTTTTCAGGTGGATCCTATTTTCTACCTTAAAACAAGAAGTTTAGCTCCATCGTTCAGAAGAGGCTTCAATGCACCTGTGCAACTGTATTATATTTACTTTGCTTTAATGTCAGAGAATACAGATTCAGTCATCTGTATTACCACTTTATATGTTAGAAGAAGAGAGGAGACATCTTTTAATGCCTCTACTGAAGTTATTTTTTTTTAAAGGTGATTGTTGAATGTGCTTACATTATTTCTGATTTGCTGTTTCCCTTTAACCAAAGTCATTCATACCAGAAGTTAAGACTGCAGCTTGTTCATGGGGAAGTTGATAGGAAACATCAGTATCTATTTTGCCTTTTAATAGACAAGATAAATGAAGATGTGATGTGTGTGGCTTGCAAGTCTTACCTTCAGGTGCAAAGAGCTTTTCCTAGAAGCTGCTGGTTCACTGGTGTCACTTTCTCTCATTTCCTCTTTTTAAGAGGAGTAGAAAGTACCGAGGAGAGCAAGTTCAGAGGGTTGCATTACAATGGCCCTGCTCTAAAACATTGACCAGATAGAGGAGGGAGCAGGAATTGCGGCTTACCTTACCATGCTGGAAGCTGACAGCCAGGTTTCAGAGGTCACCTCTGAGTTAAAACTGCCTTCTGAGCAACTCAGACTTTTCCAAGCTGATCTGTCTTTTCCAGCTGTTTAGTGTGCCACCTTTTTTTGTAACAGTGCACATAAGCACACATGAACATAATTATTCCTCCTGGGACTGTTCTGCATAGTGAAAAACTGTTCCAATCTGTGGTTTCCTGGGTTATTTTTGTTTTTGTAGTGCTCTGAGGTTTGCTTATGTATAAATGGTAAAGTGCTAAACTGAACCCAGTTATGGTGAACCTCTATGGAAATACTGCCAAGGTTTGTTTTTTTTTTGTCTTGTGGGTTTTTTTTGTGCTGCTGCCGCTATACTGAATGATTACTTCTGAAATGTAAAGACCTTTTGGATGAGTTTTAGGAACTAGTATTTAGTAGTAGGGGGAGATAATCTTTTATTTATCAGAACTCTGCCTAGAAGGGTTCATTCAAAATACAGATTGTTTTGTTATCAGACACTGATAGATTAGGAAAGCATTGAGGTGTGTGCATTAATGTTTCTTGTATGTTTTTTTGCTCCTTCACCCCTTTGTCTGATGGTCTTATTGTATCTGGTGTTTCATTCTGGTAGTGAGTGGTCTTAAAGTACTAAAAAACTCTGAAGTAGGATGATTTGCTTTTGAGAGGCAGATGGATGGGCTACCACAAAAACATGGGCAGGATGACAGCTTAAAGCCAAAGCTGCTCCTAAACATTATCAGTAGAGAGATGATTTGTTTGCTGTCTGTGCCTTGGAGGAGAAGAGATGCAATCACTGAGCTCAGTGCATCAGTGCATTGATGAAATGTAAATGGTTCCTTCCTATTCCTTAAAGTGATTTTGCCAAATAGTACTGAGTAATCTGGGCTGTAAAAAGATGCACAACTGGGGTTTAAATTTTTGTTTAACTACTGGATTTTGTCCTGCTCAAATTATCGTTAGCGGCAGTAGTCCAGAGAGTCTCACATCCTCCTACTTAAAATAGACATAAATGAATTTATGCGGAAAGGATTTGGGGATTCTAGTAGATTCTGTATTTATGCAGAAAGGACTTCAGTTCTAAAGAGTTCTTGGAGATAACTGTGGAAAGTCTAATGATAGAAGGGTGGTGTGGAGTGTTAGAATAGCATGGAAAGACACTTGAGACAAAACCCAGACTATCTACAAAATGAAACAAAACAAAAAGCATCTGTAGCTTCCTATTTCTGCAGACAAATGCTGTCAAATTCAGTGAAGTTTCTGAAATAGAACAGAAATGAAAAATAGCTCGTTCTTGAAGCTCTGGATAGTGGTGCAACAGGATAAAAACATCTAGCAGATCTATGTGGAGACTTAAAAAATACCGCACAACGCAACATTGCACGCTTGTACAATCTTCAGAAAGGAAAAGTTATGTACTAAGAAAATCCTGCTTTTGTTTAAGTAGTTATTCTAAGCTGTTAGTTACCAGCTAATCTAAATGGTCTAATAAAAAGATGTGGTGAGAGAAAAATCATTTTTTGTCAGTAGTAAATATGTTGACAAGATACCCAGTGAGTGTATTGTGTTCCTATGCACCATTTTGACGTACCTCAAACAAAATATCAACCTTTAAGTATGTGTACACAAGTCTTTGGAAAATGAATTTCCAATATATCAAGAAAAATGTGTTTTAAATAGTTTCTAGCTTGATGATGCTAATGAAACTTTATATAGAACTGCATATACTGCATATACATATACTGCATATAAACTTTATATAGAACTGCATATATTTGAATGCATATAATTCTACTGAACTAACTTAATTTTTCTGATGAAAGGTTGAGTGTATTAAAGCGTTAAAATGAAAACTCTAAGTAATAATGCCGTTACTGCTTTTTCAGATACTTTAGTAGGACCTTGCAAGTGACTTGACATCATGGTAGCTCTGTCCTTGAAAATCTGTGTCCGCCAATGCAATGTAGTGAAAACGATGCAGTTTGAACCATCTACTGCAGTGTATGATGCCTGTCGAGTTATTCGCGAACGAGTGCCAGAGGCTCAAACTGGGCAAGGTGAGTTCTTGTATTTGTTCTTAGTCAATTCATTGACTGAACTGAAAATAAATGTAGACCTGTGTTGTGGTAGTGGTGTGTGTTTTGTTTTGTGTGGTGGTTTTGTTTTGTTTTTTTTTTTTACACTGTTCTGTTCCTCCATTTATCTTTCAGGTTGGAAAGTTTTTTTGGGGTTTTGGGGTTTTTTTGTTTTGTTTTTTTGTGTGTTTTTTTTTTTTTTTTTAATTTAAATCATAAGGCTCTGGAGCAAAAGGGACAGAGTGCAAAGAGATTTTTAAGTGACAGATATAACTGCATTCTTTTTCTTCCATCCTGACAGAGGTTTTTCTACAAATGATACTTTTTTGGAACGTTGACTTGTTAAATAAATTGCTTGTTTGCCTGAAAGATAATTTTTTTCTTTTTTTTTTTTTCCTTGGTTGGAGGGCAGTTTTTGTGGTACTATCTTTGTAAAGCAATGTTTGTGACAATGCTTTCTAGGAAAATCTGGGCAGACTTAATTTGTGTCTCAGCAAAGGAAGCAACAAGACAAATTACAAAAGAATGGCTGGACATCTCCAAAATATGCAAAGGGGAATACCATATTCACAGTGCTGCTACATGTTAATCAAATTTAACTGTGTCTGTACCTATTGAACAAATCAGGTATATGCAGACTGTGAAATACATCTTCACTTGGATAGAAGCTCTGGTTTAAATGTAGTCAAAGCTGTAAAAAAAAAATAATTAGATTCTTCAGAACCCTTTGGTGCTGTACTGTCTGAAATTAAAGCAGATAGTTTATTGAATTTTATGCACAGCTCTCAGCTTTTAGAACCATTTTGAAAATCTTGTCTGACTAGTTAGAAAAACTTACCAGTAGTGGACAATAATATTACTATTACTTAGAAATGCTTCTCCTTTGCAGGAGTCCTTTGGAAGTCTAGTTATAGAGCTTCAATTTTCAGATACAAGTTGTGCATTTTTACCATACTGATCTCTCAAGGCAGTGATTTTCAACAGCTGTTGAATTCAGACAAGTTGAGTAATAAATACTCCTGAACATTATGAACCTCATAGAAAAGCCTAGGAACTCTCCTTAGATTACACAGTAGGACTTTTCCTTTATATGTGACTGCAGTGCAATTACAAACTTCAAACAACTTTATGAATTTGAGTGATGAACAGATATAAGATTACTACCGTATCCTTTCTCCTCCTTTGTGGATATTAAAATGTGTGTGTTTGCCTGTTCAGAAGACTCATAGTGGTGCAGTACAGACTGATCAAACTAGTTCCTGCACAACAGAAAATGTAATTGTCCTGCGTTATGATTGTCAACCGTGCACATTTCACTTCTCCAGCAAAGCTTGCGTGCTGGCACAAAGGTGGCCATGATGTTAACGTGCAATTTGCACAGCTACTACTATTTCATTACTAGGGTGCATCTCCCAGGAGTGTATATCAGAGCATTCTGTGCATTCTTGGTAATTCTGTGGTCTATGCAAGGCACTTTATGTGCTTCTGAAGGTCACAACCTATTTATAGGCACAAATTCTAAAGTTTTACATAACTGATTCTGCACTGAATTTGTGTCATGAACATCTCTGTATGTATTGATAACTAGACTTTTCAGAGGTCGGCAGGAAAAGTTTTTCTTACTCGATTGTTTTTGGAAGGATTCTTCCTTCGAAATTGCCTATCTGTTAAGTCAGATACACTTCCATTAAGTGTAAGGTCTTTTATATACTTGTGTGAGTAACAATGTGTTAAATGTAAATTCTTGCTATGCGTGACATCTAAAGATGAAACATTGTCCAAAAATTGTAGCCATTTTTACCTGACTTTCTGATCAGATGGAACACGTGGCTGAAAGTAAACAAGGTACAGTCCGTGCACCAAGCTGTTGTAACAGGCTGTGTGCACATACCTGGCCAGCTTGTATGAAAGCTGTTAGCTTAAACTGTGGAACTGCAACTAGAGCAGGCTCAGCTCCTGAACAGTAGTTCAAGTTGTTTGTGATAGTGAAGTGTACTCTATGTCAATTTTTTATGCATATAGCCTTAAGTTGACAGTCATGGTCCTTCATTTTGTATACCTGGAGTTTAGTCTTTGAAACCTAAGCTTGAGTTTGTTCTTCTGTGACAATGCAAGTTTTATCATTTACTTGTGATTCTGAAAGAATCATTTAATGTGTGTTTAGCTTACAATAGGTGCAAGTTTTTTCCTGAGGTTGTTATGAATATAATTCTAGAAGCCTTGTATTTTTTAAATACAATTTTTAAAATATAGCCTAAACCTGAAGCATCTACCAAAAAGATCCCAAAGTTTAGCATAAACTGAATATGTGAAGAGTTAAAAACAAAACTTTTTTTTAAAAGTAGAACTACTGCTTGAAATCGCGTACTATAGTTAAGTCCAAACTGCTTGTATTTTTGGTTAATCAATTCCAAAGCAGGACCTGTGAGCATTTAGAAAAGGTTGTCTTGAAGAGAAGTAATTACAAATATAATACAAATTACACAGTAGATGTGACATGTTAGTGCTTAGTGAAGCTTTTGTTCAAGTCTTCTATAGAGCCTGATCTACTCTGCTATCTGCTGCTAAGCTTAATATTTTCTGAAGCACAGAAAAAAATTTCTACCTTAGTTCATTAAGAATGGAAGGTAAGTGTAATGGAAGTTTAACTCTGAAGCTGAATAACAATGTTGGCTTTATTAGGTTTGATATTTTTCAATAAGTCTCTGTCTCTTTTGTTCCACAGCCTCTGACTATGGATTGTTCTTGTCAGATGACGATCCTCGGAAAGGTATATGGCTGGAGGCTGGAAGAACGCTGGATTATTACATGCTGAGAAATGGGGTATGGTGCAAATCTGCTGCTTCTTTCATCAACACATTTTTAGAAAACTTGTTTCCCAAGCAGCAAGAAAAATGTTTAGCGTTTGGGTAGGAGGGTCTTGAGTCTGGTCCTGAAATTGACCCATTTCTCTACCTTGCTGTACATCAGTAGTTCACAGAAGGGATGGAGTTAGAAGGGACCTCTGGAGATTATCTTGTCCAAGCCCTCTGCCAAAGCAGGTTCACCTACAGCAGGTTGCACAGGATCACATCCAGGCGGGTTTTGAATATCTCCAGAGAAGGAGACTCCACAGCCTCTCTGCACAGCCTGTGCCAGTGCTCTGCCACCCTCACAGTACAGAAGTTCTTCCTCATATTCAGATGGAACTTCCTGAGTTTCAGTTTGTGCCCGTTGCCTCTTAACCTGTTGCTGGGCACCACTGAAAGAGTTACTTTTTTCCTGTGTCTGATTGTGACTCTGAGCTACTGCGGCCAATTGTGTCTTCACAGAATGATTAACAGAAAGGTAAAAAATGAGTTTTGTAATAAGCTTTATATTTGAGGTGAACTTGCATTATAGTGTAGGTTTCTTGTATACTAAAGATTATGAGGTCGTACTTGCTGACGTTATGGCCAGCTTGGTTACAACCAAAAGGCATTGCTATCCTCTCTAAATGCTGAATTTGGATTAGTTTTTGCAACACAAAGGTACTTTCATCTGTCTTGCCCTGTCTGGGTTTTGGTCTTGCCAGCTAGGACTAGTTTTTTAAAAATCACATTGGCAGAACTAAAAGTAGTCCCTTCTCAGGTTTGTTACATGAATGTGTTTGCCTGTACTGTAACAAAGGAAAAATCCAGCTTGGGAGGTGGAGAGGGAATCCTGTTTGAGGCATCTAAGTTAGTGGATTGGCTTGGGGCGGCTTCCAAAATCACTTGGAAACAGTATTGTTCACTTCCTAGGATATATTGGAGTACAAAAAGAAACAGAGACCTCAGAAAATACGTATGTTGGATGGTTCAGTGAAAACAGTCATGGTGGATGATTCTAAAACAGTTGGTGAATTGCTGGTTACCATTTGCAGCAGGATAGGTAAGATTTTGGGACCCACGTGCTTAAGAATTTTTCTGGCATATTTGCATCTTGATTTTTAGGCTGTTGTGTGTATTACTGGCTACAAATTGGCATATATGTTGAAAAAAAATTTAAATTTGTTATCGGTTAACATTTACCAAACGCTTTTTTGAAATCTGTTGTCCAGATTTTCTGAAAGTTGGTAGAGTTAGCTATGTCCTCAAACTTCAGTATTTAGCAGTTGAAGGCACAAAGTTATCTGACAGTACAGTTATAAATTTTTTATTTTATGTTACATTTAAATATGCTTTCCTGCTATGTGGTAAAGGATTAGAAGTAAATTTATACGTAATTTTAATGAGATGAAAGATAAATACCGTTAACCTTGAAATATACCTAAACTTAGGTCTTTATGTTGTTATGATTAAGAGTTGATCACAGTACTGCATTTTTGTGAAAAGACGCATCGAAACCATCCAGAGCAACTGGTCAAAAATGTGTCATATTAGTTATAGTCTGTCTCTGTATTTATCTAAATAGAGACATTTTGGAAAACTAATTCAATTTAACTATAAACATGCATCCAACATGGATTAGTTTAAATCATCTTAAATCTTTGCTTAATTCTCATTTAGAATTAAAGTGGCCTTAATTTGATTTAGATTAATTTACTTGGAAAGTGAATTAAGCTAAATTTAAATCTATCCATTTCAATTTTGTTTGAGTGTTTCTATGCTGGATTGTAATTTGCTGTAACTAATTTACTCCAAAAATTAATTTGACTTATTTTCATGAATGTGGTCATGTAGGTGAGCATTTCATTTGCTTTCCTGTATAACATAAGCATGCTTTACTAAACAGTGGAAAAAAAGAAGCAGAACAAAGAAATAAGAGCAACTTAGCACATATGCTAGATGTTGTGAACTGATCTTTGATTGTTTAATGTAAAATTCATAGGATGAGTTGAGTTTTAAAAACTCTAAAAAAAAAAAAAAAAATTTCACATGGTTTCTATTCCTCAGTCTGCTCTGCCACATTTCTTCTACACATTGTGAGCAAGCTAAAACTATTCAGTTCTCAGGGAGCAGTTGTAGGCATTGGTGAAAGGAAATTTACTATGACATGTCTCCATTCTGGAATTTACTGCTATTTTAAATTCCATCTTGTTCTTAAACTGGCAGCTTCTCTTGGTACATAACAAACACCTTAATAATTTTCTGAAAGTGGCAAATGCAGCATATGATGAAGGAATGATGTATTTCGTGGATCATGTCGGATATTGGAGAAATGTCTTGAATGCAGAAGTTTAGATTATTCTTGGGATCTCCTTCCCCATACACTGTTTTAGTATTTCATCCGGAATATCTTTACTTTATTTTGAAGTTAACCATTGGTGTTTTAATATATGGAAAAGAATATTTCACCCATTCTAAAATGTATTAATTTTTTGTTGTTACAAAAACTGGATTTATTTATAATTCCAGGAATAACAAATTATGAGGAATATTCCTTAATCCAGGAAGGCATTGAAGAGAAGAAGGAGGAGAGTACAGGAACGCTTAAGAAAGATAGGACATTGTTGCGTGATGAAAGAAAAATGGAAAAACTGAAGGCAAAGCTTCATACAGATGATGATTGTGAGTAGTGTATTCCAGGATAATTCTTCGATTAATATCTTTCCATGGTGTAGTGCAAGAAAACCATACAGGAATGCATTTTTAGATTCTTCAGTGTATCTCAGTTGATCCCTACCTGTAGTTTGCATCCTTTTATGAATGTTGTCTACTACTGAGTATTTTTGAAGTTAGGTGAATGAACAAGTTGTTGCATCTAGCTGCGAGAGCTAGCGGGTCTTTTGAAGTGTTTTTTTGTTACTTTGTTGGTTGAGGCGTTGTAACTTGAGTGTTGAAGATCATTTCTATAATAACCATTTTCTCCTCTTCCTTAAAGTTGGATATTTAAATATTGATATGTACTGAAAGCCATCAAAAGGTAGTTTTGTCTTTGAAGGTGTAAATTTTAAGTGTCAGTGGAGTTTGCCAAAGAACTAAGAGAGTATTTGATTCGTTTTGTGTGTAAAGTCATGAGAACCATTTTTTCTGTTTTACGTTGAGGCACTAAGATTAACTGTGGCTGGTGGGAAGATATTTTAAAATTATATTCAGGGATAAGAAAAGTAAGCAGAACAATTGGTTTTAGGGGGAAAATGTTGGTAAACTTTTAAGCAATTTTGCTATGAAGCTTTGAAGAGCTAAATTTAGTATTAAAATGTTACTATAATTGTTTCTTCAGCAATGTTAATAGTGTTGTATGCTGTAGTAAATTCTTGTTTCTCAGCAGTGCTGTTCTTCAATTCTAATTTGTAGCAATCTTCAACACTGACTAGAAATAGAAATGAAAGCGATGGTTTTTGCAGAGTTTCCCACTCCAGTGGAAATGCCAATTGTCACACGATTTTCACAGCAGCTTTTAACACTGACGACAATTTGTTTTTAACAAAGTGCATGTCTGTGGTTCTGTTACAGTAAATTGGCTAGATCACAGCCGAACGTTTAGAGAACAAGGAGTCGATGAAAATGAAACACTACTGTTGAGACGAAAGTTCTTTTATTCAGACCAGAATGTAGATTCAAGAGATCCTGTTCAGCTGAATTTGCTTTATGTTCAGGTATAGTATGTGGACCAGAAATACGGGTTCTACCTTGTCTGAGGAAACATGTGTAGGTTAATTAGAAAAATTTTGTTGCTGAAATACTGTCTTCTAGAATTCTGTTTGTGGATGTGCTTTGATGTTACTTTTTTGTCTATCCCTCCAAGAACACATGATAGTACAGAGACTCTGTTGATTCTTTTTGATCAAATACTTTCAACCCAATAATGGACACTCAACCAAAAATCCACTGACTTTCACATCCTATTTCCTTAAAATTTGTGAATGTCTTTAAAGCTGTTCTTTTCTGTTCTTCTCCTCATTCTCTTCTATAGGTGGTACTTTCTCTGTAATATAGACTCTTAGGTCAGTCTTGCGACCAGCTTTCCACTTATCTCTTTTCTCATCCAGCTGATGAGTGAGAGAGCTTCTTCTGCACTCCTTTTCCAATCTTCAGCCCAGGCAGCACACAAGGCAGGCAGGCTTCCTGTTCAAAATGGAGCATATTATGTAACATGGTGGGAGTCCACCTAGGCAGGTTCCCCAAACTGTTAGAGGTACTATACATACCTTAGCAAAGCTAAGAGTTTTATGCAGAAGATACTGTTTAACTGAAGGTTCCAGTGCAGTTGCCTGTAATGTAGTCTGAAAAAAGCAGGCTTTAAAACTCTTTGTTAAAGTTTACTTTAAAAAGTAAAAAAACCACAAAAACAACAAAAAACCACAAACCAAACATTGAGAGTTTAATGGAATGTTCAGTTGTTATACTTGCAGCTGATTCAAATGGGATTGCTCTAAATTACATTTTAAAACTCTGAGGCAAAAGATCAAGATGGCATTGCTTGTAAGACTGCATTACATTTTTCAAGCGTTTTAGAAGACTGTATCACACTGAGCTGTTCTCCTGCCACTTAGATATTTCTTTCAGGCTACTGTTACGACAGTACGTGTTGATACTGCCTTGTCATTGTTTTGTCTATGGATAGATGAGCCTTCTATTGCCAGAGCTATAAAATCCATCATCTTCTATGACCACTAACTTTAAACAAAAGGAAGGAAAATGCTGTTTGGCTTCTCCTGTTGTCGTTTCTATAATAGTAACCTGGTTTTTACTTAATAGTTATGCAGATGATTTTCCCTGCTGTTACAAGGTGGTAAGATAAAAGCTTTTATATGTGTGTATGTACACACTAGTATATCTCTCTCTGTGTGTATGTACACATATATATCTGTGTGCGTACACATAAGTGTATATGCGTATATTGTATTTTATATACATGTACAGCAGGAAATGGGTGTCAAGTCCTTTTTTTTGATGACAGTTGTTACAATCGTGGTTTCAATAAGGCTCTGTAGATATTCACCAGAAAATAATCTAGCCCTTTTTTTATTTTATTGGTCATAAACACATACAGAATGGAATAATAAAGTCATTCAGACAGAAAAGTGTGTTGCTGGGTTCTTGGGCTGTGTTCAAGCTTTCAAGGAATTTCAGAGATGTAATAGTTATTTTGGATGTCCCTGACATGTCTTTGCTTACTTCCCATAGGCTCGTGATGACATTCTGAATGGTTCCCATCCTGTCTCCTTTGAGAAGGCCTGTGAGTTTGGAGGCTTTCAAGCACAGATCCAGTTTGGACCTCATGTAGAACACAAACACAAACCTGGATTTTTAGAGTAAACACTTCTAACTTCTAAATTCGGGTGACCTCAAGTGTAACTAATGTTGTCACAGACTAAATGCATTTTAGTACTCCAAACAGAGGTAATCCGATTCAGTGTGTTTTCTGTAGCAATCTCCCTGTGAAAGGAACCTTGTTGCAAAATCAGCAACCCCAACTGATGAGAGGACCTTTGGCAGTGGCTTATTAGGCAGCACAGGGCACCAGCTTCCTCCAGGGTACCAGTTAAATACACAGCTGGATTTCACAACCACCTGGTAATGTGGGCAAACTGGGATTCTGTTCTCCCTTAGAAGTCTACTTCTGCCTGCATTTAGTTAATGCCATCAGTAAGTTAAGCGTACATCAGTATATATCACAGATGTTTGATTTGCCAGGAAAGTACATGAATGGAAACATGCTTTATCATTTGAATAAAGTTAATATTGCTGTGTGTAGAGGTTAAATTTTCAAAACTTTTTAGTGGCATTAATCAGTTATTCAGATTCACCCTCTCATTGCATTGTATGAATGGAGATCTAGAATTGTGCTCTTAGTTTCAGAAGTGGACAGGAGTCCTGCTTACAAATGGCCCATCCTTTAACCTTTATTGTGATACTTACTTTACCTTTATCAGCAGACCAAGTTTAGTTTGACTGAAATTTAGATGTCCCATTTTCTACTGATTTTGATTTTCTGATTGGTTTGCCTGCAGTAGAATTAACCAAGGGCCAGAGTCTGAGGAAAAGAATGTAGGAAGGTAAAAGAAAGCTATTTACTGCACAGCCTATTGGGCCCTGCCTACATGTGAGGCTCATAGATGCCTTAATGGGATGCACAAAACAATGGGTGCATGTTTGGTTTCTGTCCTATTCCACTGGTCAAGTGCTCAGTGCTGACTCTTACACTTCCTTTGAGCCTGAGTCTGGGGCTCACTGTATCTCAGGGAATCGCTTAAAAATAGTGGCTTGCTTTGGAACGTAGAATGCTGCACCACTGGTTGGTTGAAACACTTCATTTTTGAAAGACTTTCCTGAAGTAGCAGTTCAGTTATGCAAACAAACATCCTGCAGTTCCAATTAATAATCAGCTTTTCTTTGTACTGTTAGTTTGTCTGCTACTGATTGGCCCATGAACCTTTCCTAATAGAACTACTGGTGTCTTTAAGAATTATGGGGAGTATAATAGCTTCAGCATGCTCCTGGCCCTTTTACCCTAGAATTGTGACCAGTTAAGCAACAATCTTCTTCTGGGATTTGTCCATTTTCTATTTACTCTTCCCTTCTCCCTCCACTCACTCAAGAGTATTCCTGCAGCAAACCATTAGGATATTACCTCATTACAAGCTAATGTTGTGTCATGTCAAGAGTTAGGTGTTCCCAGCATTAGTTGGTTTTAATTCTTAAAGCAATAATTCCCCACAAACTTAACCAGCCGTTTTTGCAGACTACTGTGCAGAGTTCAGTTGCGTAGTTTTTTCTAGGTTTTTCTAGGTGTTCTACTTGGTCTTTTCAGTGTAAAAAAAATTTTTTTTCTTTTTTTAAGTTCCCATGTAATAACTGTGTTATGGTAGACTGAAACTGCTGGCTGGATGGTATATCTACTCTGTATGCAATGCTAGATAGTTTGAAGTCCATCATGGAATAAAGTCACACACATAAAGTGCGTTATCTTTTTTTTTATCCTAGTAGAAATGAAAGGTATAAATAACTGAACTGTATGTTAGAAAGAGAATGTTACTTCAGTGGAAATCATTTAGCACCAGGATTCCAAAATTTAGAACCTTGTTATTTTCTGCCAGGAGTTTTCTCTACTATTGTTTTCTTTTCAGTTAAATGGGCTTTGACTGTATTAGGATAAAGCCTCGCAGGTCACTAAGTGTAATCGCTCACTGTCCTAGTGTATAATCAGTTTTATAAAATTTAAGGATTTCTGATTTAGAAGTAATTCTGTTTGCCCTCTGTAGAGGAGCCTGCTCCAGAACTGCAAGTTCCTAGTCATTGCCTTCTAATTTCAAGTGTACATGTTTATGATTTAGTGTTGTATGCATTTGACTGTAGGTAGCCCTTGTGACAGCCTTTTTGTAAAACCTCATGCTTTTGTTTTGTGAGTCTAAACAAGCTAAGTGCTTGTGACTCGCTGTGAACAACATATATAAATAATGTAGATAAATGCTGTGGTTTTGTGGTGGTTTTTCTTTTTTTCTGAAAGCGCATCTCTTGTCCTCTCAGAAAAAACTTTTTAGTTTCCCCCTGCCCCTCCTTGAAAAAGATTGAGCTTTTTTAAAGTTTCATCCAACTATTTCCTACTCTTTGGTGGATGAACATGGATTCTTTTCGAGTATGAAAGTAGTTATGTTTTATGCAAACTGTATGTTCTAGCTCAGTATGTGAAATACATTTGAGGGGTGTCCATTCACTCACCACTGAAATCTGAACATACTACAGATTCCCTTAAGGAGAATCTGTCAACTCATACAGAAAACAGCATGTAACAGAATAGTATTAGTATTTCATAGCATTGTTTTGAAGCAACTTAGCTGTTTGCCATGTCTGCAATATGTTTATATAGAGAGATCCTTTGTATCCTTTTTTTGTCATTGATAAATTATTCTTGGCACAGATGAAGATTATTGCCTGCATCTTGTTAACACTTTGGTATTAGTTGTTGGAATTTCCTTGAAGCTCATGCCACAGTAAATTATGAAAACTCTTAAACTCAATTTGCAAATAATCCTTCTTCATGCCCTTCTTCATACAGCTGAAGTTTTGTATTGCAGCTATGGGAGTACCCTGTATTTAAATTTGCTGAGAGAATATCTAATAAAGACCTTGTGCTATTCATAAGCAGATAGAGAAGGAGCACCTAAAACTGCCTACCTCTGTCTTTTATTTCCAAGCACGCTTGGTGACCAATAAGCTCAATTCTTTAATCTACCCTGTATTACTGTCTTAAAACTGTCTTTTTCAAGAACACCGAGTGTACCTTTATGCACAATCAATATGTTGGCACTCCTATATAATTTTTTGAAGGACTGTAGGAACAAACTCATAGTAAATTAAGGTAAATAAACACTACTTGCTATTAGATTTTTTTAAAAACTGAGTTAATTGATCATTGTAATAATATGTAATTAAAGAGATTAAAGAAGGCTAAATAATATATTCCAAGTGGTTTTGCGAACTCCATTAAACAAGCTGCTAAATAAAGTGAAACTAGTGTTTGTTGCATCTTAAAGAAAATGTCTTGCTTATACGTAGTATTAGGATAATTTTAGTCTGTTTACAGCTAGCATTTCACCCTTTCAGTTGAGGTGATAACTTGTCTATTAATTGAAAATTAATGGAAGGTGATAAAAGGAAAAAGCATCCAATCTAACTGCCAGCTACGTGTGCAAGAGTATGCCAATTGGTGCTTAGTGGACAAAGCACAGAGTTGTCTTAACTCTTGCTGCTTAAGAAGTTCCAAATAATGTTTATTCAGCAATGTCGTCTTAAAGTGTATATTAGTTAACAAAGTAAGTAGCCATGCTTAAAAATGTAATGGTCTTGATAGTTGATCTGCATACAGATAGCTGAGAAAATTAACTCTAGTTAATAAAAGATGAGAATTGGAAATGCATTGATAACTATCATTTTTCTATATAAATCCATTTCCAGAATTAAATTGGGTTCGGCTCAGATTTGGTTAGTGTGTTTTTGGTTTTTATTTGCCTTGGAAGTGAACCTAACCAAACTGGTTTGAACCTGTGAGATTCTGTATGAAAGCACAAGTTATTTCAGAATAAAGGCACCAGCTTTTTATGATAATAAGCTGTATTCAGTCCTTATCTACAAAATTAATTTGACTCTCCAGTCTTTCCTGCTCTATGATGTGTCTGTGTAAGTAAGTCCAGAGAAGAGATTTCACTGTCATGTATTAGTGAGATATAACTACTGGAACATGGGAAGAAAGATTAGCAAGGACAGTTGTTCTTACTTTGATTTATATTGCTAGAGCTATATGGAAAGAACAAAATGAATGATCTCACTACTGAATAGTTTGAAGAAAGCGCAAAATCTTGATTTAGTCTTTTCAGTTACTGCAATGGAAAAAAAAAAAACAACCAAAAAAACCCCCAGAACCAAAAAACAAACCACAAACTGTCATCCCCCCTGCAAAAAAAAGGGCACCAAAAAAACCCCCACAGAACAGTTGAGCAAAGTTTTTACCAATCTTGTTTTAAAAAAATCCATTGTTCTTAAAACTTGTAACTTGCTGTGATAGTAGGTAGTTCTAGCTTTCTGTGTTAATAGTGTGCTTGCTTAGTGAATCAAAATAAGGAGGAGATTATCCAGTCATACTTGTTCTGTGATTCTTAATAGCCTAAAGCAGGGAGGAGCCTTAAAAACCAATTTTTTGTGAGTGGAAGTTTCTTCAGACTGAAAATGAACTGCTGAATATATGACATAATTTCATCAGAGTATGAGTGTTCCAGATGAGAAAGTGCAATCCAGAAAAGAACTGATGTTTGTTAAAGCACAATGTTGATGTATCTTTAAGTTGGGGTGATGTTTGGCTGAGATAAAGGGTTTATTTTATTTTACAGCAAGGAGGTACAAGTGAGGTGTTCAAAGATTCTTTCTGACTAAACTCTATCATGGAGGCTGAACTTGCTTAGTTTACTTTGTATTCTGAGACCCTTAGTATCTGAGTGGTACGAAAATTAGGACTGGTTATTTATGACTCTGTTTTTTGAGATAATGACTAGTATTAAGTGTACAATTAAATGGCTTTGCAGTTTTTCAGTAAAATATTAGGGTTCTAACATTTCTTGGAAGACACGGAGGAAGAACTTGGTCCCACGCGTTAGTAAATCAAAGTGCTACTGGAAATTAATAGCACTGTCTGAACTCGGACACAGAGCTGGCTCAAGCTTTGATGTCCCCCTCTTCCCCTAGGTTACAATGAGTGTATTTGGATTTAGTGTGAACCCTGCTGAGCTGCTGAGGAACATCATATAGTTTAAGAATGGAAATTGTGCCAGCCATTATTTACTTGTGATGACTTTTCAAAACCTGAAGAGGTATTACACAGGGATGTGATTAAAGTGCTTTTCTTAATTATGTAAGGTGTCCTCTTGCTCTTACCCTACTTAGCCAGAGTTTTGTTTCATTGTATAGGTATTTTATGCCAATTTCAGGAAGCTTGGGGGACTTAATGCCAATAAAGGAGCATGAAAAGCATCCTTCCTCGAGAAGGCACCATTAACTATGGAATTTTTTTTTTTCTAGCCTAAAAGAATTCCTGCCTAAAGAATATACCAAACAAAGAGGGGCTGAAAAGAGAATATTTCAGGTAACTGTGAGGCTGAAAAACCTACTATAGTTTCACTTCCTTTATAAGAAAAATATGAGCTTTCAGAGGGGATTACTCTGTATGTACTTGAATTATATAACTATCTAAAAATCCAGAGTAAAGAATCTGACAGCTTTTCTGTTCTTTCTCCAGCAGATTTATTGTCCTGATCATTTTTTTTCTTCACTGATGATTATTCAGTGTACTTTGTTGAAGGGGAGAGAGTGAATATTCAATATTCTTAAGACCTTTTTCTCATTTGCATTGGAAATGTTAGGATGTATATTTGTACTGAAATGGAAACTCATTTAGGAAAACCAGTTTTAATTTCATGCCTTCATTATTCAAGCATAAGTTTCAAGTAATATAGAGTTCTGTTAGCTGATGCTTGAGTTCAGTGATGTGTCTGGGAATCACACAGTTGTAAAAGTCTGAAGCAGTTGAGTATAAAATGTACTAATACTGTTGAAAGTGGTCTCAAAGTTTGACTGTAGGTGCACTAAATATCTGTGCCTACTGAAATACAAGTTTGGCAATACAATATAAGTTGAAAAATTCTGAGGTCAACAGCTGAAATCAAGTCATGTGGTTTCTGGAAGGACATACCAATGATCTGTGATCTCAACTTGGGAGACAAGTTGAAGAGCAGAAACAGGTCACATACTTTCTTGTGTCTATTACGCTCCCAGTCTAGGAATTCCGTAGCTTAGTAAGTCTGTTCTACCTGAAGCTTGTAGTACTTCCTCATAGATGAGTATGTCTAACACTTTTCTGTATATCTTTAGCTGGTGGCAGTGATGTTGCAGTTTAGTCAAAAAAAGATTCATTCACTTCTGAGTATTGCTATCATGCTATGTGATCACATAGCATGTGATTTTTACCCATGTCAAATATGATCTACAGGTAGTTTCAATAATTACATGCTTCAGTGCATGGACAAAGAAGCTCGTCAGTGAGGGCACTGATGCTGGGCAAAGATAAAACAGCAAGGTAGAATAAGCAAGCTGTCTTTTTGAAAAAATCAGTGTTTCCCTGAGTTATAAAATTCTTGAGTTTGGCAGGTGATTTTCGCCAAATATTCAGTCTGCAATGACTGCATTTGGACTCCTTGCTCTTTCAGGATCCTGATTGTGTTCTCTGTGCTGAAGTTGACAGATATGATCAGTCTATGTCCTTGGAATGCAAAAGGGGTTTTGGAGTTGCCGTTGCTCCTCCCAGTGCTCCTCTGTGCAGCAATGTCAAGGTTGTAACTTAAACTGGACTAGAAAGTGTTTCCCATGTTCTTGGTGCTCCCCCTGCTGCCGTCAATCAGCATGAAAGAGGAGGCAACCAGCAGTTCAGAAGAATGTGAGGTGAAGGTGTGGTGTGATAGGGAATCCCACAAACGGTGTTTAAATAGCAGGACATTGGGATAGGATTTTCAGCAGAATGGTCTGGGGTAGGAGAGCAGGTACTGAGATAAAGTTTGAATACGTAATATTGGTAGTTGTCATTACTTACAGGTAATAAAGTTTACTAATGAGTAAAGGGTTTAAATAAAAATTGAGTTACAAGACACACCTAGATTAGTATTTCAGGATGAACTGTTGAGAAAAATCATGACTTCTTCCTCACCTGTAGAATTCTTTTCATGTGATGGAAAAAATTGTGGATAACAGTGCAACTGGCAAAAGAAGTCCATGGGAGGTACCTACAAGAGATGAGAAATAGTCAATTACAAGGCGTGAGGCTCTCCTGAATCAGAGGTTTTGGGCACAAAGCACTAATAAATAGTCTGTTCCTGGAAAAAAACATGGGTCCTGGGACTTCTAAATTATTTTAAAGAGCTGAGTAAAGAGGCATTAATTGTATGAAACCTAATGGTGTCAAATAGCAGCAATACCTAGAATTTTAAACTGTTTCAGAAGTGATTTAAATGTGCTTGATCTGAGGCACAGATAGAATCGATGATGGTCAAAGAGGAGTGTTCCATTTGCACAGGTTGTTTTTGTTCTCCAATGTGAGGCATTACTGTACAGTCTTGCTAACGTTCATAGCCAATATTTTTTCAAATATTCTAATTGTAATGATTATTAACTAAGCATCCTTAAACAGATGAAAGGTATACCATTTTGTTTGTTTGTTCCCAGAAAGCATTGTTTCTGCCTAAGTAATACTGAACTCTCATTACAGGAGCACAAAAACTGTGGTGAGATGACTGAAATAGAAGCTAAAGTGAAGTATGTGAAGCTAGCCCGTTCCCTACGGACCTATGGAGTGTCATTTTTTCTTGTTAAGGTAGATCTTGCTGTGACAATATTGTGTGGTTGGTTATGTATTATCTCAGATTCTGCACTAAGCAAAGGTCAAAGATGTTTTTTCAGCCTTCTATCTGAAAGCAGCATTTGCAAAAAAAGTGTAAATTACTACATGGGACAGAATTACAATTTCAGTTTAGATCCTTGTCATACTGCTTTCAGAAAGAAAGTTGAGTCGGTCATGATTTAATTTCTTTAAATTGACATTTCTTCTTTTTTCTTTTGATTACCAACGATGTACTATCTTCAGAAAAGCATTCACAAAGAACTCATAAGTTGTTCCTGTTTAGAAGTTTGATGATAATATGAATTGCATGCTGAAAAACTGCATCTGAAGAACAAGTTTGTCAGCTGCATGATTAATTTCTCTTAATCCTTACAGTAAAACTGGTCATGGTCTTAAGGCTGTTAAAACAATTTGGTGCCAAGATACTGACTTTCTACTGTGAAAACTGGACTGAAGTATTAGCACGCGAGTATTCAGTAAGCACTGACATAGAATGGAAAACAAGCTAAACTTAGGCAAACATTTTCATTTTGTTCCCACAGATACAGTACAGAATCTTTGTAGGTAGCTGAATACCGATAGGTTGTCTTTTCCTAAAGTACTTAGTCATCCACAAATTCTAGGGAAGCAGAAAGAAGGTGAAAATACAATGAAAAATATGCAGAGGTTAATACTATTAATACGGTAGGCTTTGAAAGAATTACCTTGTCTTGCTTCCTTTAAGGAAAAATGTTTTGTTAGGCACCATTAATGGTGAAAGGAATCTCAACTCCAATGGAGCTGTTGAGCTAAGTTCTGTATTAGAAACGATACTAAAGTTATGGTGTGCAGTTTTCAGTAACTAAAATATGAAAACTAGCAAGTATGCATCTTTAGTACAAGCTGCTAATTCAGTGGGGATTTGTTAACACAATGTAGCTGACCTGTATGGCAAAAGGGAAAAATTTCTTTGTATTTTTCATTAATATCTGTCTTTTGTTATAGCTTAAAGCAAACAGTAACTGAATCAAATAACCATGTCATAAAACTTCTGTTGGAAGGAATAATTGGTCTTTTAAAAAGTCTGTCAAATGACCTACTGTGTAAATAGGAATTGATTCTTTGAGACTTGCATAAATTCAGGGGAATGGGACTTGTATTTTATGATGGATTTTATGTAGCAAATTGTCAGCTTGGACCTATGCGCTGCAATCTTGGAAAACTAAAGGGGCAGAATGCCCAACAAATAAGGAGACATCAGCTGGCAGCGTGCAGATTGACCCTGCCCCCTTCCTTGTGATATTTGCATGGTTTAGGATGTTCTCATGGACTGAAAATAACTAAGAGATCAAATCCCAAATATGGGACAAATTATGACTGATCTTGTCTATTTGTCAGCCCCACTGGGCCTTCCTTTCCTTTACCTCTCCAGAAATTTTACAGAGAAATGTTGAGGGCAACCTAACTTCTCAGTCTTCCAGTTCTCCATTCAACTTCTCTAATATGGTTTTACAGAGGAAGTCTTGTGCCTAGAAGGACTGCCATCATGGGTTTTTTTTAAGTAACTTCGAAAGATCTGTTACTACAATCTTTAAAATGCTTCTGTTTCTTAGAGGAGGGAGAAGAGGGTGTCTTTTGAACTGCATAGTAAAGATCCAGTAAAGATCAGAGCTTCTTATTGTTAATGCATTGCTTGAAAATAACTGTCTATGACCAGACAAACTGAGCCTGGAGTTTTGAATTGTCCTTGTCTGCATGCCAGTTGCTTCCCTTTGTCAGTATATTCCATCGTGCTTTTCCTTTCTCCTATGGCAAGCTCCATTTGAATGAAAAAACAATCTTTCACACTGTGACAGGAAAAAATGAAAGGCAAAAACAAGCTGGTTCCTCGTTTGCTGGGTGTCACCAAAGACTCAGTGATGCGTGTGGATGAGAAGACCAAGGAAGTGTTGCAGGAATGGCCACTGACAACTGTGAAACGCTGGGCTGCCTCACCTAAGAGCTTCACTCTGGTAATCTTTTTGTATATATTCAGAGGAAGAGGGATCAGTGTGGCAAGGAAAAAGGAAGATGGACTTAGAACAGTTTCTTTAATGTAACCTGTTCTATCCGTAATTTTCTAGCATTATATAGAGTCACTGAGTCCTAAACTAATAAATTGACCCATACTGGTGTCTAGGGTCAGTGTGTATTTTGGTGTTTCTAGATGGAACGTTTCCCCAAAAGTACTGTTTAAATCTTTTCAAAAAAACACTGTTTATGTTCTGTGCCTAACCACAGTTAAGAAAACATCATTATTCATACCTGCTTAAACTCCGATGATGCTTGCCATTCATAATGCACTTTGTGACTTGCAAGATATGAACATAAACAAAGCTAGATGGTACATTAATACATTTGATAATTATGGATTTAAAGAATTTTCATGAATGTGATGTTTTGTTAATTATTCAGTCCATAAGAGACCACTGCAACAAGAGTATTTTGGATATAAGAAGGTTATTTAAAGTGGTAGAGCAAGAAGCAGTGACTAGAAAACTATATTCACTTTAATCATGCACATCTAATTTCCAATTGCATGGGTGATTATGCTTTAGAATAAAATTCTAAAGACTTTTCTCCATCCTTCAGTGAGTAAGTCTGATAAAGTCAGAGTAAGAATCTCTTGGTCCTCTGGCATTTCAATTCATGAAACATCTGTGATTAAGCTGCAATAAAAAGCATCCTTCCCCGCTCCTCCCTCACCTCCCATATATACTTGGTTTAGAATCTTGCAGCAGTTTCATTTACGGTTGGATATAATAAAATATCTATACAAACAATTTTAAAATTTGCATTCTCTCATATTTGGTACTATTTCTTCGTTTATTTACTTTCCATTTTCAAAGAGGTTTGTTTTTTTCCCTCTTTAGGATTTTGGTGAATATCAGGAAAGTTATTACTCAGTACAGACCACTGAAGGAGAACAGATCTCTCAGTTAATTGCAGGTTACATTGATATCATCCTAAAGAAGGTACAGTATTAAGGTGACATGTAGTAAAAATGCAGTAAAAATCACTGTACAGCAGTGTAAAAGCTCAAATATATGCAAGCTGCAGCTGTCCCTCATGAAGTCAGGGTTGTTTATTTTTACATTTAAGTAATATAAGCTCCTTCCATTTAAGTGAGTGCTTCTGGTAAATACCAAGGCTATTGACTATAGTGGTAGTATGTGTTGGGCTCAGTACAGCACACCTGGGCTTTGTTTTTACATCTGGAAGGTGAACTGCTGGCTGTGAGTATATATCCAGAGAAGAGTCCAAAGCTTCAACAATGGATTTTAAGCTATGGACCTAGGTGATGAATCAGTTGGGAAGAAATGATCCCCTGGAAGCAACATTTAAAAGTACATTAAGGACTACATGATAGTTGTCCATCAGGTCTTCTGTATAGTGCACTAAAGCTGAGAGAGTTTTTTGGCAAAACAAAACAAAAAAATAAATCTCAGTGCAGAGAGAAGAATAAAATCAGTGTTTGTGAAGAGGCCAGTTTGTCTTAAAAGTTGGTTTTATGGAGTGTGCTTACAGGAGGGAGGAGAGGCTAATAAACATTTCCAGCATTCAAAATACTCACAAGTAAATAAGTGAACAGAAAAAAACACCAGATTTGCCAGCAAATATGGAGCTGAATGGTCATACTCAAATATGTTGTATAGAAAAGTGAGGTGTTTCAAATAGCAGTGGTTGCTTCTTGACAAATTTTTATTTTATTAAGATTCAACCAAACTACATCATTACTTGCTGTAATAGATTTTAATAGTAAAGAAATGACAGAAAGCTAAGCAGCTCAGGAGAATTTATTGCCTTTTTTCATGCGAACAGTGTAGGATGTAACGTGTTATGAAACTGGAGGTTGAGGAGGATTGCTAGAATTCATTACAGTACATGCCTTTTTCCTGAGGCTGTCCGTCTCAGATTTAATAAATGTTAAATAAAATGCGGGTTTCTATGTATGGTTTAAAACTTGATTCTAGTTCTTAAGATTGAAAAATAGCTTGGCTCTCTAATGCTAAATGAAAGCAGCCTTTCTGTCTTGATAGAATACAGATGTGTGTATTTCTAATCACTTCCACTCCTTTGATTTCTTCTTTGCAATCTACTGGTACAACTAGTTTTAAAATGAATGGATTAGGAACAGGTTAGGTAATAAACACTCATGATGCTTCATGATGCGTATGAGAAACATGCAATTTCCAACTGTTGAGCTCAAGTTATCTCTGTGATGCATGCCTCAAAGTATGGTTTATCACTCTCAGTTGCATAGTATTAATTCATGGTGTGTTTTGGACTCTTCTAACGCATTTGCTCTGGTGTGTATTGGTGGCACTTTTTTTTCTGCTGAAGTGTTATTGGTGTGACACTCTGCACCCCCAACCCCTCTTGTCCTGCAGTTTTAGTGATAGGTCACTAATCAGTTGACAGGGAACCCTGAACTTGAGTAACTTCTACCATTTTTAAATCTAGATATATTTTTTACTTCACATTAATATGGCAGTAAGGCACAATCTTGACTGGAAATAGGCAGTTTCAGTTCATGCATAAACTCAGAGTATAACAGTAAGAACGTCTTTGGAGAAAGTTGGGGGGTTGTGTATGGATGTGCATGAGGAGTTCCTGTTGAATGTACCCAAGGTCAGAGTGGATGTTCCTCTATTTATATATATAGAGAGAGACTACAAATCATGTAACAAGGTGGAAAGCAGACAGTCTTTGTACTAGGTGACAAGCAGAAATAGACTGTTTTTACAAGGCACTGCTTTTATGACTTATGATAGTTTCCTATTATTTCTAGTGGTTTAGACTTACTCCCCTTGTGTATATTTACCTCCCTTATACCACTATAAAAAACTGTCTTAAAAATTCAGATGTGCAGACAATCCAGTAGTTTGAAGTAACTATGGTAAAATAACTTGGATACAGTATTAAATTTATCATCTTTACTGTGGATATGTATTTCCTAGTGGTAGGTAGCACCATATAGTAACATTTCAGGATGCTAAATATGACTTGTAGCTGAGTTCTAGTTACCCCAGTCAGTCTAATGTTCCTGAGTTAGAAGAGAATGCAAAAGGGGATGGTACATGTCCTATCTGTGCTGGGATTTACTGTTGTTGCATATCACTCATTCCTGAGAAAATTTTTTTCTGTGAGACAAGACAGTGTCTCAGCACTTTATTTACACCTTTGTTCAAAAAGGCACAAATAGACTTTTTTCCTTTATGCACTTAATCTGCCAGGGATTAGAACCTGCTCTATTAGCTGCTGAAGGGCACCTCTTCTGAGGTGGAGGTTATATTGTCACACACTGCCAAAAAGCATGGTGTTCAGCATCAGCACTGGACAAGACTCTGCAGATTATTTGAATGTTTCTGATAAATGGCAAGGAAATGGTGGAGAGAAAACAGAAAGCAACATGTGGTGTTTGTTTAATTTTTTTTTTTTGCCCCCC